GAGGAACAAAACTTGAGCAGGGGTGGGAACATGGGATTAATTAGTACACTTCCTTGCCAGCTCGTATCTTACAGTGGCTCAGTCTGACGCCGATAAGATGTACCCCAAGTCAGATAGATTCCTTCGAATCCTTTCCGAAGCGTCGAAATTCCTCCTCAATCAGGGCCCAGCTTTCCTTTCTCAAAAACCCCTGAACCCAGTAATTTCCAGATTCGTCCTTGCCATATATCATAAAAGCGTCACGAGTTTTGTCATCCGTGTTCATGGTGGTGCCCCAGAACATGACTGGTCTGACATGATCTTGCGCCGCATCCGCCGCAGAGTTCCCCACCACCCCAGTGCAGGGCTTGTGTTCGCCAACGTCGCCCGAGGCAGCAGAGCTGATATCGGCGGCATCCAAGAATTTTGCCTTGGTCCAGTTGGAGCAGGCAATCACTCGGGAATCCCACCGCGCAAACAGGGGCATTGTACCTAGAGCTGCAAACCAGTTACGTGCGAGACGCAGGAGACTTCGGGTCTGCATGTCGCTGGTCTGCTCTGCGATGGCTTGGCGCAGATGTTGAGCAATCTGTGCCGTCGTGGCGTTGGCAGCCTCCTGTCTGGATAGAACAGTCGTTGCTGGAAGGATTAGGTTTTGCAGGTACGGGCCCTCGGGCGCAAACGTATTCTCCAAACGCCGGCGGATATCGAATACGTTGCATATCACTGCACTGCACCTCTTCCATGGTCGTGACGACATGACAAGGCGAGAACCCCAAGCTGTGATGAGATCCCCGTCGCTGACGAAGGGAACCACTCCACCATGTGTTTCCTTCAACTCTTGCTCGACTCCTTGGCGCAGATGCCTCAGATAGTTGGCGGGCAGATAGATGTGTCGAGCCTGCACGGTTCGGCGAGTCGCGATATCCCATACATATCTGGCAATGAAGGACACCAAAGCAACGCCACGAGTTTGCTTACTTTCTAAAGCGAACTCTCTTTGCGAGACTTCCTTATCGTGGTCTGTTCCTGCGCTGTCAAGCACATCTCGATAAGTGCCCTGAAGAGGCTTGACCAGATAGCTTTTGCCCATTATGATATTGGACCATGCTTTGAGCAGCTCTGATATACCCATGGCATCGGCGAGCGAATGTGGATAGGTGAGTCCTACTAGTGTAGCGTCTGCGAAAGATGTGACATGAAGACATAGCAAGGGCTCATCACTCCTCAAGTAATGGTTGGTGTTCTTTCGCAGATCAACAGGCGCAGCGAAAGACTTGAAGGCTGGACTGCCTTCTTGTAAAGATGGTGTACTTCCTGTTGCTTTGGGCAGCCTCGAAGCAAGGGGATGGGAGTCGATGTTGGTGTTGAGGTGGTCGACGTGGGAAAATCTCACGGCAGGGCGTGTCTCGGTGAAAACGCGTGGTACATGGATCTCGAGTTTTTCTTCACTCTGCACGATTTCACGATGGCAGTCAGTACCGGCAAGTAAACGGGTTCTTGATATCAGAATGAACATCATGACTTACATTGGCTCGCAGACGGCCGCCAATTTTACGCCATCCAGGCGTATACACAAGTTGGAGTAGACTTTCGTGAAGCTTTCTAGCGTCGAGGACGCTGTCATAGCGAAAGGTATAGTTGAAAACGATTTTACGAATAATAGCCGCCTGATCTATGAAGTGAATGGGCAGAACTTCATCTTCGTATAGAAGACATTCGTCTTTTGCCGATTCGAGATCACTCTCTGTCGTGAACTTTTCGTAGTTGCGCATTTCAAAGAGAAACCCCTGAAGGCTTTTGAACACAATCTTTTCAAAGAGACAAGGAGTTTGATAGCCAGTCTAGGTAAAGACAAGTTTTAGTGAAGGAATAGGTTGATTTGCGATGCCCGGTGTCTCTGTAAGTTGACTACCAGGCGAGAATGCTCTTCAATTTATATGTTTTCCATCGAGCAGATTAATGTCCGCCATCTTCCATCCTCGGCGCGGGCTGGCTCTGGGGGCCAATCCTTCTGTCTTGATGTTGCCTCTTTTCAAGGTCATACGGCCATTTCACAGCCATGTATCTTGACGCCATTTTGGGCAATGTCAGCCAGCCCAGTAGGGCTGATACATGTCAACTTTTGAGAAACCTCCAAACCAACGAGATACAAAAGTGACGAGAAGGAACATTTGGGTGTGGCGGAGAGACTCCTTATTGGTGTTCCTACGAACGAAGTTACCGGCTCGATGCATCCAAAAGAGAAGGGATTCCACTTTGGGAATGTGTCCGGTGTGAGTCTTGTCAAGTCGCCCCGCCCCCCAATCGTAAGACGACACAGCCTTGTTCCGCGCCGCATCCGTCGCTCATTGGTCTCGCCAATAGTCTCACAGAATTGAGAGTGACTGCCTGGAACCTCCGGTCTTAGCTGGATTTGAGAAGGGTGATGGCATGCCTAATAGTCTTCATACCGTGTGACGAATTACTGTGCACTCTAATTTTTTGTGTGTTGGCGACCTTTTCCGGCTTTACTAGCTCCAGACAGGAATCGACCAAGTAATTGTATCAAGACAGATTCTTGAATGAGAGCCTTGCAAGAGCAGGCCACACCGGAGTTCCCTGTCTCATTTCTCTAGACCAATGCAATGCTATTGGGGAGGGGAAAAGTCCAACCAGACTAGAGTGCATGTCTCTCTCACACGCTTTGAGACGGGAAGGTTATGAACTATTGCATTATTAAGACCATGATAACATTCATCATTATCGAGAAGCTAATGACCGTCTTGTTTGGGTCTGCATCCTGTTTCTAGGCGTGGTAGTCAAAGAGCATTCTGCCAGAGAACACGGCCCAATGACTTTCGGTTGCCAGCCCTTTTCTTGACCTTCGACATCCTATGTGCGTTGCTTCGATTTACATTTTCCTTGTTTCCATCTCGTAGTCGTCTACCCTCGACTCGTGAGTAATTGGCTTTGTGAGCATGACAGTGTCGTCGCCAGCGTAGGATTCAAAACCCTTGATATTATACTTGGCGGCAAGCGGGCCGAGTTCGATCAATCCGGCAATGATGATACCAATGCTGACCTCGATGGCGGACCAGTTGAATACGGGTGCAGCATCGACTGTACTGTTGTTAGCATTCGGAACCCAGAGTGGAGTTATCAACACATACGGAGCTGGTCGCTTGACCCCTTGAGTTTGACCAGTGCCACGAGGCGGATGATGTTTGCGATTGTCGCGCTAGTATTCCTATTAGTAAAGGCCCTCCAATCACCTTGAAATAGAACTTACAGGATTCCCAAGCCGAAGATGCCGTAAATGTACATTTTCAGTCTTGAGTTCAGGCTGCGACCTCTCATCATGATCCATGGCGAAACCATCAAAAGACCATCCAGGGTCGCCGTCACGATAGACAGCGCATATCCCATGTAGAGCTGACCCGTGAGAGGCAGGCAGTGCCCCTTTGCGTTCGCATCCAGTAATCTCCATGCGAAATCAATCGGCTGGCACTGGACCAACAAGTAGATGATGAAAGCAAGGCTGATGGCCACGTCCAGGCCAATCGATACCCAAAACAGAGAAGTCAGGATCCTCGAGCGCGATAGTCGAATGAAGGTCAAAGCAATGCTTCCTTTCATCGCGGAGGTGAGTACTACGTAAATGATTTCCAGGAAAAAGAGTACTTTGAGAGAACTGGCGATTCCGGGGAGCGTCGCCTGGAGAATGCTGCCGCCAATTCCACCTTGAACACCTAGGACCAAGAGAGCGTAAAGAGCCGCAAAGGCGGCCTGCAAGCATAGAATTAGATAAAGCGAATGCATACACCGCGAATTGGGGTACGAACCAGAGCTGTAAGTAGTAGGTAGTCGTTGGGTCGGACATGCTTCGTGATGAAGATCCGAGTATACAGACGTAGACCGACGAAGAAGGTGTTAAGAAACATCAATATCGCCCCCACCACGATCATGACCATGCCCTGTTCAGCGATCGCCATCTTGACGGTAGTGAGTAGACGCTCCGGTGATAAGTGGCGCGAGTGACTTGACGAGTTCGGTGTTGTGGCCAGCACGCAGAAATATCTGGCTTCCAGAACTGACCGGATTACTCCCGATGTAATATTACCGATGTGAAGGGTAAAAGTTGTAGAAGTAATCGTAAAGTCGGTGCATTCGCGACGATGTAAAGGGACAAATATCCAACCGGGATACTTTGGGATTGCAGTTTCTGACATGAAGACACGCCGACAAATACAAATCACCGCTGCAGCACAGATCAAGGATCTGGCACACAGAAGGTCCCCTACTTGAGGATGTAATTGGGGCTGAATAGTATTCGTATTAGAGTGTCGGGGCTCGCATGGTTTCGTGTGGTGTTTCAAAACCTGTAGAAATGGGAAACCAGTAAGCTTTCAATTGACGTCCGACCGAGGCTGACACAAGCTAGATGGGAGGCCGACAGCAGCAGTTCCCTACTAGAAACTGATCAAACTGAGTAATCCATCCGCAGTCAGGGTAAAGATGGGATGAAAAAAGTGCTGAGATACGAAAACCCGATACCGAAGACAGCAGCAGTATGTGTGACCCGGTGCCGTGCTGCCGAAGGGGTTGATCCGTTCGCATTGATCGCCGGTGACAGGCACGGCACGGTGATGGGAGGCGACGACAATCAACCACAAGAAACATTGGCCCAATCTGCTTAAGGACCTTGGAGAATTCAAAACATATCATATCACGAGTCACTGTTGACTGGAGGACTGGACTGCTGAGACGTGCTCTTATAATGCCATGATATTTTCTTCAGGGGCCGTCTGAAATTCTGAATACTTAAAAGCTCGAATAAGTCTTCACTCTTTTCTTTTGTAAGCCTTCCGCGCCTTTGAAGAATGCGATACCGACATACCCTGGATTACGGTGCTGAATATGACGATTTGTCAACCTCCAAGGTACTAAGATGAAGTTCCCTACATGCCTGCAAACTGGCTACTGACAGACGAAGATCTTTTCAGAATTCTGGCCCGTTTTCATTTAACCAACTAAAGCCTTCATATTGTGTCTCTGATGCCCTTACCCTCGTGCAAATACACGAACTCTTCATCACCCAGTACTCCAACAGTGAAATGCCTAGTTTGACCTTGGGTTCTTTGAAACCAGCCCATTCTGAAGCTCAAATCATCCACACGACTGTAGAGGTCGCCCTTGGACAGTAAATGAACACTCTGTGGTAGGTGACTTGGTGCATTTGAGCCCTGAAGCAGGTTGACCATGGACGCCATGCTATGGAAACCATCTGGCGCCAGCCCTTTCACTTCCATATCGAACAACCGCGGGATTCCACTAAGATGCCTCGTAGCGGCGGAGAGTACTGCCATTATGTTACAAAGAGCCACTAAGCCCAGTACCGCCATCAAGATATATGTGATAGTGGGGTTCTGGACTAAACGTCGTCTGCTTCTGTCTACAATGATTGCTTCAAGCAATGGGAGACCATTAGCAGGTGGAGGGCGATTTCTGGAATTTTCAGTGACGCCAAAGCGATTCTCTAAGTTGGCGAGTTGGGCACCAATGAACCCCAAGTTGTGTTTCAGGCCATCGAGAGCGTTGGATTCCTGGCTAGCATCTCCCAATGCGCTCAGTGGTAGTTGGCCGTATGGCTCTATCAAGACTGTGAATTGCCTTTCCATTGAACCAGCGAGCGGGTCGTTGAGGCTAACAGTGGGGAATGCGTCACCCGCTTGGAAGTTGATGAACTGATAATCGAAGTGAGGAACGTCAAATGGAGGGTCCCAGAATTTCGTAGTTGATAGATCGGGTTCCGGCGGCTTTTCGGGGTCGAGAATGTATATGCCGTCCGACTCCATGGATAATGAGACCTTGGTACTCGTCTCGACCCACGTGTAGTTACATCTCCAGATGGAGAGATGGTCAAGGTCGTTTCTTTCTTTGTTGAACTCTCCCCAAACGTAAGTTTGAAATCGAAATGGGGAGTATATGTAATCAGGAGCGCTCATATTCAAGCCAAGTTTACAAAGGCCGTTGATGGAATACGTGTTTCCTGGTGATTCAAGGATGTCCGAAAAGTATGAGCGGCCTAGTCTGTTCGTAGCGCTGCTCATAGAGATGATTCCCAGAAGCTTCGCTCGATTTCCATTAGGACAATCAAACGACTCGACCATAAGGACCTCGAAGAACTTGTCCTCCTCGGTGTAGTTCCTGAATGTGATGTTGTAGGTGCTGGCGGGCAACTGGACGCAGGTAGGGGCCAATTTGGCAGCCGGGACGCTGAGCTGGATAGAAACATTCGGAGAAACCTCTGTTCCTTGCAGTCCGTCAAGAACCGGGAAAACGAGATCATCGTAGGTGTTCCGTGGGTATGTCAAGGCTCCATCACCCTTACGCAGGACAAGGCTGCTCAATGAGTCTCGCGTTGCTGCGAAGGACCCGGCATTGTTCAACGTCATCTGACGTGATCCAAACCATGTTGTCTGCCGCAGCTGGACGTTCGTAGAGCTAGGCACTGGGTCTACGGTGAACATAACCGAAGCAAGAGTTGTCAGAAATGCGCAGAGGAAGGTAAGCAACTGTGACAGGGTGACAGCCCAAACACACTTTCGGACCGACCAGTATAATGCCCTTAGACCCATCATGTCGAGGTATGACATATCGAGAAATCGTGCGCTACACGGTCGCAGAGAAAGGCTTGAAAGTGTTGCCAAACCTCGATATGCGAAGTCGCAGCAGCCGACATACAGAGTAACACAAAGCATTACCAGTGCTGGAACAGATGTCCACAGCAGATGTAAGTAACCATCGGCATTTATAGAGGCAAGCCCTTCTTGTGTTTTCGATACACTTAAAGTGTAGTACAGCCCACCGATGATAGCAAGAACCAGGACAGAGATCGGCACACGTGTCCATGTCCTCAGTACCAAGGGAGTGAATTCACAAGAGCTCCACTCATTGTCGAGACTACGCGACTGAGAAGCCATGATGTTGTTTGACAGATCCATGTTGTCGCGGAAGAAAAGCATGCTTCCGAGAATTGTAGCAGGGTCTCTGTGCCATACTGACATCCTCTTTCGGTAGCGAAGCAGGGCGATTACGGTCAAAACAGCAAGCAGGAAGAATAGCGCTGTCATCGACAGCGAGACCCACTGGTTGACTGTCAGCCTTTCGATGGTGGCGATTGTTGTTCCAGTTGTTTGGGAATCGCTTTCTTCTCGCAGACGATAGTGGCCGATCAAAGGGCCCAAGATACTGCTCGTGTTCATGACCGCGTCGTACAGAACATCATTAGTGAATAGTGATGGATCAGTGTCATTGTTCGTTCCCTTTCCGTTGAACTGGAAACCTGTAATGATCGGCCCAAAGATCGTACCGGTCCCTGAGCCAGCCCATAGACCAACTGTTTCAGGGATGGAGCTCCCCAACAATGACCAGAGGTCCGCGTTGACTGTTCTTCTGGACCCGCCCGGTATGACCGTCATATTCGGGCTCACACCATCGTCAACTACCTCCACTGGGGTTGTCCAGGCCGTCGAGGAGCACAAGATCGCCGCAAAATTAAGAACATTAGGGTGAGATGTATTCTTTGCTGACGGTCCAATGCGAGTTGCGTAGTACAAAGACTGGTTGTGTTGTTGTGGAAGGTTTGAGCACGGCTTTGGCTCATTAAGGAGGTTGTTGACATTCCAACTGCTCTGTAATGTCGTCTCGTTCGGGCTGGAATTGATCCACATCATTCGATCGGTGGTGACTGGGACAGACTGATCACAGCCCTCGAACAAAAGACTGGCGTTGAAGGCGTAATAGCTCCTGGCGGGGCCTGTTTCCTTGAGGTCCGTATGCGAGTACTTACTAAGTTTCAGACATTTCATCTCTGCAAAGTACCCATCGACAGTAACTGTAATCGGTTCCGTTTCTGTTCCCCGCCCGGAGCCCTGACGAAACGAGAACGTCTGGTAGGCCCCTTCCTTTGTGACCCCAAATGGTAGCTTCATCTCGAGATTCTGCAGGGCCTTTGCAATGTAGTATGCACTAGTCTCTCTGTTGGACATCGCTGGAGTACTGATATTGAACGAGTCGAGCACACGAACATCGACGGGTTGTTTAGCCTGAAAGCTGACCAGGCTGTACAAACTAGGGGCAAGAATAATCTGGATCTTGATGAAAAGAGACACAACAGCGATGATGAAGACAAGGAAGTGTCTTCTCCGCAAGGATTGATAAAGAATCGAAGGCGACAGCATTGCTGTGTAGTCGAGAGAGTACCCGTCTCTGCCCATCGATGGGTTGTCGCGGTAAGCGATCCAAGGCATATAGCGAATGGCTTGTAACTCGACTCTTGACCAGAAAATAGACAACAGAGTGAGGACTTGGTTTATTGAATGTCAGCCTATCTTGACACAAAGTCTTCACAGTTTTCGCTTACTTGCTGTTGGGCCAAATCGCCAGAGGTAAACGAGGCTCTGCCGTGTGGTGACCAGACCACTATTCTGCTGGGAGAATTGAAACATGACAATGAGAGAGACGCCGAAGAGGAGGAACAAAGCGGCGAACGCCAACAATGTCCCTGACCGAAGCCATGTTGGACACCATGCTGCTGTGTGATTGGTAGTGTCGTCTGCGCTTCTGTCCTCGCCGCTAACGGATTTTTTCGCTAGGAAGCTATCAAGCTCTACATCCCGTTGAAGAAGTGGATGCGTTCCAACGATGAAAGCGTTCTTGTTGTTCTCCGTAAAATCATCATCGAACAGACTACGGGTATTTGTCGAAGACCGCGAATACTCCGACCTAGGCGCCATGTTGGGAGTAGTGGGGCTTAAGGTGCTGCCATGAAATAAACGGGTGCGAAAGCGTTCTTCTCCAAGAAGTTTCTCTATTTCTCAAGTTGAACGAAGCTCAAGGTGTGACATTATACTGTCAAGAGCGGCGGAGCCTGATTGAGGCAAGCAAGATCAGATTTTCGGTAATCGCCTGTTACAGTCGGGTGACCGAAGTGTCTATATTTTATCCAAGCTTCTTTAGCCTCCAGGCAAAAATTATCAGGGCGGGCTACTTTCTCCATATGATGATGGGCCTATGAGCGCCTCAATACTGAGAGACCCTTGTGTTATGTGTGTCAATGTAGGGGCAACCCCCGGGAGCCTTGCATTAGTTTCCGACATTTCGACTTCAGCTCCTGGTTTCTGTGGTGGCAGTCCGAAATATTTGGCGCGAAACGGGCGCTTAAAGATGACTGCATGATCCTTCGATGGCTGATGTGGCGGTTGGGGGCTAATTGGGTGCCTGATGCAACTTGATATAGCGGCCGGGGTCTTCATTTACAGCAGGAGCCCATTGAGTTTGTCGTATGTTCGTCTCATCAGGCGGTTTGATCCTCTGCAAGCTTCATGTAGAACAAGTAGGTAAATAGTCTAAATGTAGTGTAGAATTTGACATTTACTACTTCTCAAATATTTATGCCAGATATCCTCTCTGCCGTAACCACTCCTCGGCCATTGAGGGCCATTTCGAGACCGGCAACCCTTCAGTGTCCAAAGCGAAGCCGTGGGGCGCGTCAGCAAAAACGTGGAGCTCGACAGACCCCTCCGCTGCTTGCAACCCCTGCGCAAGCCGGTATGCGTTCACCACAGGCACCACGGGATCGCTGGCAGAATACACAATAAAGGTTGGCGGTGCCGGGCGCGAAATCTGCTGATCGGGGATGACAACATCGTAAAGCTCCTGCTTCGCCGGCGGCTCGAGGGGTGCCTTATTGGGAATAATGGTGTGCCCCTTGGCATTGGTAGAGATAGGTCCGTATCCAATGATGGCGAACTCCGGCTTCGGCACCGGTGCCCCGGAAGAAGACGCCCATGAAGCCGGGTACTCGGCCAGCAGCGCGGACGCAAGGTGGCCGCCGGAGGACAGACCGCACAATGCTAACCTCGCTGGCGCCGCCTTCTCTTCGATCAGACGCAACGCCTGTCTGGCATCGTCGACGGGGGCCTGGGGTCCTGTTTCTGCTGTCGGGAATCGGTGCACAAGTACAAAGGCCTCGAAACCGAGAGAAGCGAGCCAGCGTGCGACAGCGACACCTTCACGGCCCACCATGAGCTCGATGTAGCCGCCACCACCCAGAATGAGCACCGCGCGTCCGTTTGACTTCGCTGTTGGTTTGTATCCAAATAACCATGGTCTTGAAACTGCTTTGACAACTCCTTGATCGATAGTTCCTTGTGAAAGGTCGAGTTCGAATGCCCCATCGATGGGTTCGCTATCCCACAGCGGCCATGCGGAGTCCGCCGCAAACGATGACAAAAGACTCATTTCGTGAGAATATCCGACTTCGAATCGATGTAGCTCGTGACAGAATGAAAGAAACTAACGTGAAAATGTCGACCCCGCGTTTTGAGACTGGAGAGTTGGTCTGACAGATGGAGTGATGTGTCCACGAGTTGTAATGAGAATTGGATCCTCGTGTATTTGAACAAGCGCTCGGTTTGCTTTGCCCCGATCAACCGAGTTTAACGCAAGTCTGAACCATCAGAGAACGCAGCATCGCCATGCCAAGTGTTACTAGCAAATCAGTCTATAGAAGTCGTGAGTAATGAGGAGCCGCCAAAGCATCGATCGGGGCTGAACAATATCTGTGCAACAAAATAGCATAAGGTCGCCAGAGACACCCGGGTAAGATGAGATGGGAAGACAAATTCATCATGAGCACGATGAAATTATTCCGCCATATATCTTCGACATCACGCGCATTGACAAGACCGTTGCTTCTAGGTGCTAACTTGGCGAACATCGTCGGGGGCAGGTCGTCAATATATCCGTCGGATGGCGTTTCGACTGGACTCAGTGTTCTCGCCCCGAGGGGGTTCATCCAGGTCGTGGCGTTCCAGGAGTAATCGATCTTAGCCCAGGATTTACCTGTGTCCGGGAAGTAAGCCTCACAGTCATGATGAGCCAATCAATAAGAATCTGGGTACCCTCCGTATTGGTCTTCCATAAATGCTTGTCGGTAAGCCGTCACAGTATTGACTTGCTTATTTGCGGTTAGCATGCTTATCATATTGAGGAATTCTTTATTCTTCGCATAAGTGTGTCGTGTACTCCGAAAAGCCGTTTCAACATCCCCTCCCCCCGCCGTGCAACTACTGGTGTTCTACCGAATTACTGAAGAACCGGGCCAAACCGGGAAAGATCCCAGACAACGCATGTAATCTCATCGATTGAACGCATATTGACGAAAAATATTTTGATCCAGGGAGAACTCGATTATATGATATCGCTACAATCAGGAAGATATTATAGAAAGAAGATCAAGACGCCTGGGCCAACTTGGATTTGCGGTTGGTGGCATTCGGAGTTTGAAACGGAACCTTTGATATGGCCAGCACCGATGTTCTCTACGCCCTTTGTACGATATAATCGTGGGCGCAAACCAGCTGAGATTTACACACATTCAAATATCAATTTTTCCATCCATACCTTGTTGCATGAGACTGGAGAATGGTGTCGCCTATGTTCTCCACGAGAGATATCTCTCCTAGACAAATCAAAAGTGAAACACGCCGATCAGTGTCATAGCGGAACTCTTTCCGAGTTCCGCCCCCGATCTGCGCGTGAGGAACCGCCGGAAATTCCGCCGCTAGCCCCGCCATCCCACCTCAAACAGAAGCATTTTGGACGCCGATAGCATTCGATCATTAGTAGAACCTCCGATCCGCGCCTATGAAGAATTCCAGATCTCGATGGTTTTGAAGGGGGTCAAGTATTTTGGAAAGATCCTAACAGTCACATATGGTACAGAAAGTTGCATGCGCACATCCTTGCAAGCTCTTCCCCTCTTTGTTGGAACGGGCAGTTGCTACATGATCGATCTACCCACGAAACATGCCTCTAATCGGATGTGTAATGTTCCCAGTGATAAACATCATCTATAACTGTTATTCGCAGTGAGATTGTATCTCGAGGAACATCGACCTATGATGAGAGCTCTATTTCGACTTTCAAGTTGCAAGAGTTGTGGTGATGTGAAACCCTGCGGACGCCGCCATTCCGCAAATATTTAGTTCAAGACCATCTATCCCCTCCAAGCTTAGTCCGGCTAGCAACCGAGTCAGGTAGGTTCCTGCTCTTATCTCCATCCCCATACGGCCGTCCAGTGAAGTGACTACAATTTCTGATTCAGTACTTCATCTTGTATTCCTGGGGAAGGGAGTGTTGGAGAACGAGTGATCAATCAAAGACTCCCAATTAGTCAAATATCGAACGCATCCCGGGAAGGATTTCGGGTGTGACGCCGGCTTTGACGGATAGTGATCAACCCCCACTGAATGCCAACCTACCCCAGAGATCTAGCGGCTTAAGTTTGCGGGGTGGCGGGGGTTAATGTCCAGCCAAGATCCTTCAAAACCCCCCGGAAACCCTACCTCTCAAATTCCGCCCTTTTTCTCTCGACCTCTTTTATCGTTCGATTATCATTCGACTGCTTCGCTCAAAGAAGCAGGTCCCAGAAAAAAGAACGAAGAAGAGAAGAGAGTGGAAGGAGATCACGTGCTATCACTCTTTACTTTTCAATTGGAACATGGATTCTCCAGAATCTCCCAGCTCGGTCGGCGGCGGCGACGGCCCGCAAGCCGGATCCCCCGGTTCTCAGAAGAGCGGAATTCCGAGTGCCCCAAAGACCCGGACCACTCGAGGGAAATACATTTCCAAGGCCTGGTAAGAAGACCCATCTTCGGGATTCCGACGTAAGCAGACGTTTGTAGTTGGCCTATACTGATTACGTTTCGAAAACCTTGCAGCTTTGAGTGCCGGAAAAGAAAGAGCAAGTGCAATGGCAAGAGCCCTTGTTTCCGTTGCGCTCGTCAGGCATTGACCTGTAGGTTGATCTATTCCTCCCATTGCCGATGTAGAGCGAGGAAGACTAATAGCCTTAGGCGCATACCCGGCCTCGAAGAAACCACGCAAAGATAGAGGGAATAGCGCGTAAGTATACAGCTTGAGATGGACACGGTATTTTGTTGACTAACCTAGTACCTAGTGATACCGATGCACAAGCTATCCAGTCTCTAAGGGATCAAGTGGCTTCTCTGCAAGGAGGCCTGGATCAGTTACGACGGCACCAGTCCCAGCAGCCGTCGGAAACCCAGTCAAGCCCTCTCCATTGTGAGGTTGCACCAACAGTGCTCCAAGATCTCCCGGTCCCATTGGGCAATCCGGATGATCAAGTAGTAGACCCAGCACTTCAACCGGACCCCATTGTCGTAGATGTTGAATCCTCCACTAGCCAAGACGAGCCTCAACCATCCGCCAGTTACACCTTCAACATCAGTCTTGCAAGAACACATCTGCGGGCACGGGGCATCGGCACCGCCGATCACGAGACCGGCGGGATGCCCGGATCTGTTAATCCAACTCGTCCACCTTCACCATCCATCCAAACAGCCTTTGGGTTAGACGTCGGGTCAATAGATCCTTTGTGGCTAATCAACGAAGAGGAAGCTGTAAGGTTATGCAATGTGTATGAAGAAGAGATTGGCATTCAGTACCCCTTCCTCGACATTGGGTGGCTTATCGAACGAGTTCGAAGCCTTTACCATGCCATGAACAGCGGTTCTCGCCTTGGGTTTGCCTTTGCCGCAATCCCAGGGCCGACAATTATCGACCCTCAAGATCTAAGCTTGGTTAAGATGGTGCTATCTACAGCCTTGACTGTAGAAGCTGGAGGCTCAAGTCAACTTGGCAGGTCCCTATTCCTCGATGTGAGGAAATCATCACACGATAAGCTCTGGGAATCGGCGAGCATCAAGTCGACTATGCTCTACATCTTACTCGTAGGTGTCGCCTTTTATTGGGTTGAAGTGTACAAGAGTACTAATAATAGACCTCCAGGCTGTTTATAGCTTTATGACTGGTGATGATTTGCAAGCTTGGAGACTTGTCGGCATTGTTGCCCGATGGTGTTTGGAAATGGGCCTTCATCAGTCAGCAACCATCAGCAAAACCTTCAAGGATGCCGGGAAACGTAAGATGGCCATGCGGCTATTCTGGTGTGTCTATACACTGGACCGGCGTTGGGGCTTTGGCGCAGGGCTGCCCTTCGTGATGCATAACTTCGATGTTGACCAGCAATTACCAGAACCTGTGAGTTGCACAACACTCAGCCACGACGCTGCTACAGTTGTGAGGGAGATATTTATTGACCTTCTTAACTACAGGACCAAGATGTTCCGTATCTCAGAGCCATGGTAGAGTACAGCCGAATTGGCGACAAGGTTTGGGCGACATCGTACAACTCAGCAAGAGCAACTGGTGCCATCAGAGATGACGAAATTTCCTACCTGTTGTACCGCATAGACCAATGGTATGAAGACCTTCCAGAAGACTTGAGGCTATCCTCGAATGAGCAGACGGCCAGTCCCAATACGAATTCTACGACATCTAGAGGTCTTCAACGGCTACAAGTCTTGCTTCATCTGCGAGCCAACCAGATGAAGATCCTTCTTCTTCAACCTTTTCTCCACTCAACATCCAGTCTCAAGTCAAACAAATCCAAGGTCCAGTCACTCGTCAACCTAGCCAAGGACACCATACAGATGCTCGACTCTCTTAATAAATCAACAGACATCTACCAGAACCAACAAATGTGCTTCAACCATTTCCTCGTCTCCGCTCTCGGAGTCATCTTCCTAGTCGTGGCGCTGTCGCCAACGGAACATGGCGCTTCGGTCCGCGATGAGTTCCACACCGCACTGGACTTGATCAGGGGTCTCAGCGCCAGATCCTACGTCTCAAGCCGACTCTGGAGGAGAATAAGCGACCTGCGGCTCGCGTGGCGAAAGCTGGGATTGAATGCTCCTCAGTCTAGGGAAGCTAGAGAGCCTAGTACGCAACAGGGCAACGCGCTGGTCACGCCACCCACCTCATCTGGAGGGATGGACATTCCACCTGGAAGCGTGCCGACAGGTGTCGATGATGGGTTGCGCGGCCCAGAGCTTGATGCATGGCCAGCGGGTTCGGGTGAGCCTTTCACCGAGGCTCAGATGGCGCAGGAGCTGAATGACTTTTTCAACTCGATAGATGGCGGGGGAGACTTTGGGATTCCTTTACCCGTTTTGGGTACCGACGGAGACGGCCTCGACCCAGAGAGAGGTCCCGAAGATGCGTTCCTTGTGGACGATATGAACGCCTCCATGGATGTGTCACACTTATTTGTAGATATGCTATGAAATGACATGATGTATCATGAATCGTTCAATACTTAGCCATCCTCTTGAACCATGATTACGTGAAAGCTGCTGCATTTGTCGACTCTTCTACATTTCGGCCTCTTTACGATGCATGATCTTGGCAAGAGTTAACCAACAGAGGGATCGCTGCGGCCAATGAGCAAGCTTCATGTCTTTCTGTTGTTGAGGAGCCTGGAGGACATGAGAATCAGCTCGAGAGCCTCAAGCTGGCGATGACTGCTCAGGATCTAGGCTAATTCACGACCATCTCTCTTCAAGCCCCTCAACTCACAACCTTCCCCAATTATGCGGAAGGCATAACACCATATTTACTACAGACAATGATTCCGATCAATGCCCGCATCTCTCCACCTCCAACTACTCCGTCAAACCCCACGTCATAGTGTGACCTGTGCGGCCTCCGCGCGACACCGGGACGCGGGGGCGGAATTTGGAACTGCTATTCCGACACCAAACCATCGTCTCGGGACCCCGCGATTTGGCTCAGGCCAAGGAGAGGACGAATCGCGGGGAACTGTGAATTCTGATGTGAGATTTCCGCCCAATGAGTTATCTTACATTATAAATGATTTTGCTCGTCTAGTCTGTCGTTGTCATCAGAACCAACAAAGTCAACGACCTCAATCAGCAATTGCAGTCTGCGCCCTGTACATCCTGCCCATCATGCTCGTCGCAGAACTCGTACAAGGCCTCGTCCACGAGGCAACCCACCGACCGACCGAGTTCCTCGCTAAATTTCTGGGGGTCGCGGTATTGGTTTACTTCATCGCAAACGAAGTCGTCAGATCGAAAGCTCGTCTACCCGCTTGGCATGGCCCAAAGGGACTCCCCGTTATAGGGAATCTGCACCAGCTTGGCGGTAATGCCTCGCAGGTGTACAAGGACTGGGCAAAGGAGTTTGGTGCCGTTTATCAGGTCCAGCTGGGCAACCTCCCTGTTTTAGTTGTGAACACTGCTGCTGCGGCCAAGGTTATGTTTGGAAACAACTCGCAAGCAACTGCCTCACGACCGGAGCTCTACACTTTCCACAAGGTATGTTCCATTGTCTAATCAGATCGAAACTGAGATCCCTAACATTTGCGCTCTAGATCGTTGCCAACACTGCTGGCACCACAATCGGCACATCTCCCTACAATGAGTCTCTCAAGAGGAGGAGAAAGGGTGCAGCATCCGCTCTCAACCGCCCATCCATTGAGACTTACATCCCCCACCTGGACCTTGAGACAAGAGACTTCCTCAAGGACGCTCTGAACTACGGCAAGGCAGGCAAAGTCACCGTCGACCCGCTTCCCCTCGTCCAGAGACTCAGCTTGTCACTGGCAGTCACGCTGAACTGGGGCATGCGATTCCCTAGCCACGACGACGGACTGTTCAAGGAAATCACGACGGTCGAGGGCGAGATCAGCCGCACGAGGAGCGTCACGGACAACATGCAGGACTACATCCCCCTCCTCCGATACAACCCCTTCTCGGCCGGGAAGCGCCACGCCGTGGAGATGAGAATCCGCCGCGACAAGTACCTGTCTAAGCTCAACGGCGACCTGGAGGAGAAGATTCGCAACGGAACGCATGAGCCGTGCATCCAGGCCAACGTTATGCTCGATGAGGAGGCTAAGCTTAACAACGTCGAGTTGACATCGATCAGTCTCACTATGCTTTCTGCCGGCTTCGAGACGTTTACTGCAGTATCGACCTGGGGTATTGGGTTCTTGGCGACGCACCCCGAGATTCAGCAAAAGGCTTTTGAGGCGATCAGAAAGACGTATGATGATGGAAACCCGTTGTGTGATGCGCATGATGACCAGACTATTCCCTACCTCCGCGCTTTGGTTCGCGAATGCTTGAGGTATGATTCAGATGTGGCATTCTTGACAACCTGTGACGTCGACTAACTCTCTTACTCAGATTCTTCACTGTCCTTCGCCTCTCACTGCCTCGTGCCACGAACAAGGAGTTCATGTACGAGGGCAAGCTGGTTCCCAAGGGCACCGTAGTCTTCTTGAACTCTTGGGCTTGCAACATGGGTCAGTCGCTACTCCCTTTTAGGAAAACAAACAATTCCTAAAATAGCAAACTAACTCTTCCTCAGATGGCGATCTCTGGCACGATCCCGAAGTCTTCCGCCCCGAGCGCTGGCTGGAGAACCCCGAAGCACCCATGTTCACCTACGGCATGGGCTACCGCATGTGTGCCGGAACCATGCTGGCTAATCGCGAACTGTACATCACCTTCCTCCGCATGCTGGCCAGCTTTGAGCTGTCGTCAACGGACAAGATCGACACCGATCCCATCACCGGCGCTGCTGATTTGACCAACCTGATCATCACCCCAGGCTCCTACAAGGTCACCTTCACCCCCCGCAACGAGTCAGCCCTGAGAGCCGCCCTGGAGACTGAGGTCGAGCACTGATTTCGAGTTATTTGGCATTCGCTATCTGAGATGTGGGGGAGATCAAGTCTGCCGGAGGGAGTATAGGATGGATGAATGACAAGAATGGAATACCGGTCCACCATGGAATGAATACTGCAGCATAACGATTCGGGACGGCGCCATGCATTGATTGACAGGATGGAAGAAAGCTGGGCCAAAGTCTAGCATCCCATTTATGTACCAATAAGTCAAAAAGTAAAAGAAATATTTTGAATTTCCGAAACCGAGAATCGAACTCGGGGCTATGCCTAACCTCTCACTCACGGGAGCTCATGAGAGGGCATCATGTTGGCCACTACACCATATCGGATTGTTTGATGCTGAAGATGTTCAAAATTGGATCCTTACCTCGCGGGCTAGGAAGCGGAGTTGTGTGTGAGCGTGATGGGGTTCGCATGAAAAGATGAAAATTTGTCTCTTTGGCTTGTGGGACGGTGGGTCACCTACATGAAGTCGTTACAGGGCAAGACCTGTCTCTGAGATATGGTGGAGAACTTGAGGTGCGGATAGTCTAAAAGCAGAAAAGGTCTGGTATTCGAGGTCGATGGAAATGTTAGCGATGGTCGTCAAATATTTATCGAGTTTGGAGGCCGAATTGAGCTGCTCAATGTCTTGTCTTACGAGTTCCTCCAAGAAATCGCACCGCAGTTCATCATGCTAGCGAATTGACTTGCTGGTGTTAGTGATGAAGTTCCCTCAGGGGTTTAACAAGGCACCTTGTCAATAGGCTTCGAAGGTCAAATCAGCGGGAAAGGATTCAAAGATTCTGGAATCAGTCAACCAGCTACTTTTAATTGTCTCTTATTGAGATTTATTCAGCTGCCGCCACGTAGTGATGGCCAATACCGCTTTGAGGATTGATGCAGATACCAGGCCGCCCGGGCTCGACTCCTCCATAGACATACGCTGCTTCAAGCTCAATTTCTTCGCCAGTGAGTGCATCAACTGCACCAAAGTCATGAAGAACCCCGAAAGCGCTGTACGAACACTGCTCTCTTCCACCTACGAGATGCGCTGACGCTTTGAGCAAGATCCTGTACGCATCGTCCGCCACGTCAACGTCTGCCTCTAAAACCACTTGGATAGTCTGAGTTCCGCGAGGCGCTGGCGGGATGCAGTCCAACCTGAGAACAAGTACTTCGTCGTTTTTACTCGCATCTGGCAGCTCGCCCTGGAAGACTGGTATGACGATCCTCGTCTGTCCGTCCACTGTCGTGGTGAAGGTCATGGCCCGAGTACTCGGGAGTATTGTGTACCGTTGAAACACCCGATGCGCCTCGCCTCCGATGATCTCGAGAAGGACAGATCGTGGATTCACCTCAAACGTACCGACTAGTTCATCGTATCTTCCGTGTCCACAGACATTCTCGGCAAAGACAGCCGCGCCAAACGTGACAACTTCGTCGTAGTCCCACATGTCTGGTATCAAACGGAGACTTCCTGGGTAATCGAAGATCGCAGAGGCTCCGGTACCGAAGAAGGCCTTTACCATGGATCTCAACTGTGCCGGTTCGGTGTAGCCTCCCACGATAAGGACTTTTGAAATGTCGTTGTTAGAAAGATTCGCGCTTTCGATAACCCGACCCAGAAGGGGTAGTGTCTTCTCGAGTGTCTCCATCTCAGTTGCGTCGAATACCGAGCTCCCTCTCAGCTGCTTTTGATACATCAATCCGCCCACCTCTTTGCCAATCTGGTGATCACTGACACTGGCCAGACCTTCAAACACACCTGCATCAACCTCGAACAAAGATACCTCGAAGGCTTCTCTTCCTAGGTCATACACAATGAAGTGGAATTCGTCGTCGAGCTTGTCTATGCCGAGTCCAATAGCAGCGGCGGTAGGCGCGTTCATGATGCGAAGGACTTCTATTCCAATGGAATCCCCAGCCTCCGTGATGGCATCGCGTTCTTCCCTGGTGAAATATTGCGGTACAGTCACAACTGCCTGTTCAATGGGTCCAAGTGTCCAGGCTTCGGCCACCTTTTTGAGTTCCGAGAGGGCTTCGATTACCGAGTCTTTGAAAATGTGAACTTCGTGAGGATTGCTTGAATTTACGTGAGGGATCGGGTGCTTGATGATCTGATGTAAGAAGTACTCGGGTTCGGCGGCATCGCAAACCACAACACTGATAGAAGTCAGCACTCACTATTGAAGAGTGTGCTGCAGACCATGGTCCAACCTGGAATCGAATAGAGCACTTGAAAGACTTGGATCACTTTGTGCATGATGTGCCAATTCATCCGACCCCATGATCGTGAAACCTGAAATACGGTCTGCTATCAGTCTTAAACTTTCTAAATTCAATAATAAGCTTACTCTGGCCATCAAGCGGTATCCTCCTAGCACCGCGTTGTATCTTGCCCACGCTCGCATACGAAGGTCCGAGGCTCTTTACAACAAAACTTGTATCAATCACAACATTCATGAGTGCTTTGGAGTTCCGAGGAGACACTCACGATAGACATGAAGCCAGGCTTACACGCATCCTCCCAGTCATTGACCTCGAATGCAGATGCACCAGAGCATGCTAGCGATAATGACAAGATCAAAACACCGAGTAGACCAAAGCCTATGGCTCTGTGTCTTTCTGAGGAAGGCGGCATCTCGGTCAGCTTCAATTTTCGGCCATGTGTCGGGGTGTCGTGAATGCATAGTTTTCAAGTATCGCGAACGCCTTCGGCAATGGAGGCGATGGTGACCTGGCCCTTCTTTTCGGAGGATCATGAGGCCAGCTCAGCTTTTACTGAGCATGCGGCGGAAAACCTGTTCTTTTTGTACAGGAAGTACGGCTGTCGTGGCCTGTTGTTGGCGACAGCAGCTGGGTGCTTAGTGAGCTGACCAGAATATTGATCCCACGCTAGCTCATATTGCTCACTTCGGTAGGCTACGTCTCTTGGTGCTCAAGCTAGGAGTCGAGGTCGCATCCCAGTTTGACCTGACCTCACATTCTAGGGAGACGCCTGCTGGTTGTGGCTAAAGATTTTGAGATGGCATCTTCTCCTTGAGGATTTGAGCGGCCTGAATTCCTGACGAAGAAGTACTACTCCTGAAGTTCAAGATGCCGCGCTATCAGCAAAGAATTCTTGATGATGCTCTCTTGAAGGTATCGATGCGACGGATTGTATTCTTTCTACCTGGCAAGGAGCACCTTGCTACAAAGATCGTGGTTCGTCGCGATTGGTGTGAGTGCATGTGGTTAGACAAGGGACGATGCTGAGAACCTGAGACGAAAGTCGTCCTGCTCGTTCCCCGAAACGCTTGCAGAGCACATGTACCAAGCCACACCTGGCCCACCCGGCTCCAGCCGTCATCAGTCGCCCCACTACGGGCTTCTTATCGCTCCCGCAGCTCCGATAAGGCTCCCAACGACAACGGGAGCCAGCCCTCTTCCGTCATCTTCACTCCTTCAAGTCGCACTCTTCCCAAGCTATCCCCCGAGGCTGTCACCATTCCCAGAGCTGAGCCAGCAAGCATGACGAACGCACGATCGGAATGACTGATCCCACGTACACGGTCTTCGTCAGACTGCCCATTCTGCGGGGCGATTTCGCGGATCCCCCTCCGGTGAGTCCATGAGTCCATCCGCCCATAGCCGTCCGGGTGCCTGTAGCCGCGGGACCGACACTAATGCGACTCCACGATGCAGGTCAACTGGGATTCCGCCAAGGACGATGTGCTATGGAATATCATCTCCGGCGCAACTAAGCAGGAGATTGACTGTAAGTTATGGCTAGCATTTTGAACTTCTGAGCTTTTGAGCATCGCTGATTTGTGTGTAGGGAATGAACTGTAAGTCCTGCCAAGGAACCGGATTCACACCATCGAGCTCACTCGTTCCCTAGAGCCTTACATTTCGATGTCACCGTCGACTTCCTTCTTCAGCAAGTAGCCTACTTGACCGAGCGGCATACCGCGCAGCTTCGAGCCCAGGTCCGAAAAGCCACAGCTGCCGCCAAAGGCTCCTCTGCCCCATCCCCCGTTCCTGGCGCCGAGCCATATACTCACCAACGAACTGTCTCCGCGCTATCCATCCGACGCGATTCGCCGCTCCCCCGGACCGATACGAGTACGCCAGCGACGCCAATAACGAGCTCTCTCCGGCCGAACATCACACGAAATGCCTCTTCAGGTACGATAACACGCAACCTGGGCGGCGGCTCTACGACCCGCCAGAGCAAGCCTGCCACTTCGCGGCCATCCAACGACAATCAGCGACGTCGCCTGTCATCGCTCCCTATTCAGAGTACTCCCAGGAGCCCCGAACCGACTTCGCCTGAGGCCGATGAGCTGAGCTCGCCCACATCCTCGGACGATGAGTCCAGTCCAGCGCAATCGCGCATCATCCGTCGCCCACCCCGCTTCCAGCAGCGTGACGGACCGACTGATCTCGAAGACGAAGACGAAGACACCGAGCCTGCTTTTCTCCAATACAAGCCGCAATCGTCCAACACATCAGCGCAAGATATGGGTTCGACTTTGCGGGGCGACCCTCGACATGCCCGACGGACCCCGAAAGGCAAGGAGAAGATTCACCACTCCGAGACGTCAGATTCGTCGACCAGTTCGCCCGCCATGGTATCCAAGGGTCCTTCAACAGGGGAAAGACGACCAGCTGGCCCACTCTCACCGCGGCGTCCGGCTGAACTGTCTGGCAAGAGTCCAAGTAGAAAGGGGTACTCGCGAGACGGAAGCGACGGTACACCAAGCATGGGTAGCAGCTTCAGTGACTTGGATGGTAAGCTATAGAATCACTCATCGTTGATTTGCAGTGCTGATTGACATTAGACGCATCTGTGACACAATCTGCTCTCGAGGAGGCCCTCGCGAGTAAGATGCAAGACGGCGGCATCGGGAGCAGATTTAGCATCAGCCAAGCGTTTAGAAGCCGCTATATGCCCAAACCTGGTCAACAGTAGCAGCGTATGCATCAGATTTTGGTTTACGGTAGAATATGAATCGGTTGGGTCGAGAAGCATCTCTGGCGTTTAGGTAAGATCACGAAGCGGGTCAGAATGCCCAATTTTGCTCAGTCAATTATGGTTGTTGGGATAGGACTTGGCGTTTAATTCAATTCAGTTTATGGACGTGTTCCGTTTGATGTTTTGAGTCTCTTCCTCCTGGATAACTCCAAAGACTGACATGTCTATCCAGCAAACCCAGCACACCACTTCAGGGTTGAGAAGAGGTCGGGAAGCACGCTCATCTTTCCTCGTCCGCGTTAAAAACAAAATAGGCGCTATGTGCTTCAAGGATATGCTGATTCTAATCCATCTTACAGTCGCCTCTAAAGCCATTAATGATGGCATCCCACCTTGATCTGAATATTGCGGTCGACCAGGGAATAATTCAATCGAGACTCAAAGCCAAACCACCAAACAGCGGCGCGTTGTCCAACGAGTGTCTCCTCCTAGAGTTCATGATCGCACCCTTTCCTGGGTACGCATTTCATGGCTCTCGCCTCTCTCGGCTTCACAACTGTCAGTCTACAAACACCCTGAGCCGCCGGGAAGAGAAACAACTTACCATCCGACTCATCCGTCTTCGCCCCTTCATACGGGTCCCACGTCTTTTTCCTCGCCGGGAGCGGTTTCGTCACCACTTTCCCTCCTCCTTGGAATATCCCGTCTTCGCCTTTATGATGCCTCGTGTCGTGCAGCCGGTGTTCGTCGTCGTCATCGTCGTCAACCCTCTCGCCGTGCTCCGCACGACGCCTCTTGGCCTTGTGTGTGCGGTAGAAGAACAGCGCGCCCACGACGCCAATGAAGACTATGACGGTGCCGATGATGGCTCCGATCTCGCCGGCCGTGAGGGCTCGGGGCGGCGGCGCTGGTTGAGGACCGGTGCGGCTGTCCCCTTCGTAGAAAGACATGGCTTGCGACTAGAGGGCGAGGGAGGGAGGTGTGTGTGGTGTTTTGTGTTTTGCCCGTTTGAACGGCAGAGACGCTCAGATGGCCAGTCTAGGAAGCGTTGGCTGCGGGAGAGGCGTTCGATGGCGGTCCGGGGGATGAAAGGGGGGGGGAGAACAGGTAATCATGGATCGAGATGGGAGCTATGTCAAGGGCGGGCGGGCGTCCTGGAGCTCTTTGCGTACACGGGTAATCCGTGAGTTTGGTGAAGCAGGACCAGGAATCCGGGAATCTTGTAGGAATGAAAGATCGTCCCGGGAGGAAACAAAGCGTCTCTTCTTCCTCGTCCCACAGTAGGAGAATTGCAGAATCAAGAGAGAAGTAGCAGACTACAATCCCTTGTGGAGGACGATCCTGTTAAGTTGGACCGTCCGTCCATGTCTCTCATCTACCCCGGCTTTCTTGCTCTACCTACGCGGGAACTCGCACGTAGATTCTCGCCCTCTTTCTCGGTAGGAGGGGGGGTGAGGGAGTCTGGTCTCATCCATCTGCGGTTCACCCCTTCATCTTTGCTTCTGTCGCCAACGACGGACCGGCTTGGGGAAACCTCACCGAATGGAGGACCTATCCTTCTGCGGCTAGCCGAAACGGCACTCCGGTTTGGCGGTCAGTCGTTTGCGCGGCTCTAGATTGCGGTGTTTGTCTGCTAACCAAGTGAAAGTACCCTTTCTGTGCTTGGCTGTGGCTCTATTGCTCTAGTCTATTCCTCGACTCCCTCTCCCCTCTAGAGCATTGGTAGAGAAAACGTGACAAACAGAAATGCAGATCGTGTTGGAAGAAGAAATATGTTGGTTTGCTTGCTTCCCAAAGGGGCATGTAAGAGATGTTGGAGCATGGGTGTCCGCCTCCCTTCCCGCAATCCAACACTAACCTTAGATCTCATCCGTTGCGCCTTTTCCACCTTTCCTTCTCCATCATATATCCGTAGACCCCCGGTCTGTTTTTGTTTGCTAGTGAAGATGCTAATGCCTTGACTTCTCTTGTCTTGCTCCAACGGGACGATGAAACTGGCGGTCTTGGATGAGGGGCTCCTCCACGCACCTAGCAAAAGGTCTTCGAGTTTCGACCGACTTTGACCGATGGCTCTGAAAGTCTTGGACACAAATCCAATCGAGACAGACCTCTTTCCAAAGGAAACAGTGAGCATCAGACGGAAGACACACGTAGCTCACCCTTGGTACCAGGACGCGCAATATCGAATCAGCTTTTCTGTATCCTGTGATCCCCCAACTTGGAGCAAGAGATCTGGGTGAGAGCTGTCGAGTGGGCTACACGCATCGACGTTCCCGGTGCCACGAGACGGGTTGAACCTCAAGAATCCGGCCTCTCATCCTCCTCTCCCAGAACGGGGGCCCCGTCACAGCCCAAATTTGAAAGCTGACTCCCGCTTGTCATCTCCCTCTAGCCCGTCACGCAACGAGACACAATCGGGTCTACTTAGCCCTTGCACAAATACGTCGGCACGGTCGGTTCCCGTGAATGTCTAACGCGAACCAAAAAGTCGCCCTTTTTAATGACTCGTTGAACGAAACTGGAGCTTTGGTTCAATCCTCATGGACTCCAGAATAAAAGGTTCGAGGGAGAAATACCGGTTCAGACAATGAGATTGAGATTGGCCATCGACGTTTTCTTATTCCTGGACCAGGGGCCAAGGCGGTGGGCTTGAGACATGGCTTCGGTTGCCGCAAGCCCTTGCA